TGCCGCGCGGGGGCGGGGCGGGGCGGGAGCGGGCGCCGGGCTCCGGGGTGGGGTGTGGGGAGCAAGGCCGGTCCCCACCCGAGCTGCGGGGCTGGGCATCCCACCTGCCAGGGGAGTGAGGGGCGGGGCCTGGGTGGCGGCCGCGGGAGAGGAGGCGGGAGCCGGCGTGGACGCCCCGAGGAAGGGCTGGAGCCGGAGGGGTGGCGGGGCGACAGATCGGAAGACCATTGAAAGACTAGCGAGGAGACTTCGGGGACCAGAGACGCGCCTGGGGAGACCTGGGACTCGGGGCGCGCGAGAATTTCCTTGCACTCGCGGGCAGCGCGCGCGGGATTGGTCCCATGGCTGGGACTCGGAGCCGCGGTCCTTGCGGGGGGCCCGGGATTTGCTACCTTCTTGGCTCCCTGCTCGCCGGACTGCTCTTCCCACGAGCCGTCGCCTTCAATTTGGATGTGATGGGTGCCCTGCGCAAGGAGGGCGAGCCAGGCAGCCTCTTCGGCTTCTCCGTGGCCCTGCACCGGCAGTTACAGCCCAGACCCCAGAGTTGGTGAGTCACCGCACCCGCCTAGAGTCCCCACGCCTGAGCCGCAGATCGCCCCCCATCCCCGCCACCTCATCTCTCAATCTGCCAACCCCACCAACACTCGAGCTGCCCACAGACATCCCACACCCCAACCTGGAGCTTTGCCTCATCCGTCTTGGGTCTGGAGACGTGCCCCCAGGCCCCGAGACCCAGGATCTTGCTTTGGGGACGAGTTGGAGAGCAAGGTTCTTGTCTTGTCAGGGAACTATCTCTTTCTGCCTTTCTCCCCAACTTGTATCCTTGCTCCAGCCCCAGGGTCTCTGGCTCCCCTCCTTCTTCGGAGGGCTGAAGTCCCCCTGGGAAGGAGACTGACCCTTCTGTCTTTGCTTAGGGCAGGTGGAGAGGGAAAGGACAGAGAGGTTGAGGATGCCCTGGGAGGGATGACCGGTAGACTTCAGAAATAACCTCCTGCCCCAGCATTACCATGGGATGGCATGAGGGAAGCTGGGCACTGGGAGGCCAGGAGGGAGCTGCCACTTCTGTGGCTCAGGACCATGGGAAGATCGGGAGAACACCGGGGAGGGTCTGGCAGCCTGCAGTAGGTCGTTTGGTGATAGACGGTGGAAGAAAGCAGAACCCCAAAGTAGCAGTAGTAGTAGGAACAGCAGCAGCGGCAGGGAGAGAGACCAGGAAGGATGCTGGCCGGGCTGTTCCCCTTCCTCCTCCTTAGGAAATTTCCAACTCCAGGAATCCCATCAGTAGGGAAAGGCAGGGAGGAGTGAGGGGCAGAGGACAATTCTAGTTCTTTTCTAATCAGTTCAGGACCCCTGGGAGATGGACACACTTTTGTGCAGGGCGTGTGGCTGGTCACGCTTCCTCTGCCTGTGGCTCTTGCTACATGTATGATTGTAAAGAGAGAGGCGAGAAGGGGAAGAAAGCATCCCACCCCCTCCTGCCGGGGGCTTCTCTCTTCTCAGCCAGTGCAAGCCACGTTAAGTGTCCATTACTGGGATCAATGCTATCCACTGGGACTGTCTTCTCCCTCCTGCTATTGGCCTGGGGGCAGGAGCAGAGGGCAGGAATAAGGGCTCATTTCTCTCACCCCATCGGGGACAGGGGTTAAATCTACCCTTTCTTCTTCCATTATCACCATCATCTGGGAGCCAAGTCAGTGGTCCCCAGAACGTTGGGGGAGATAGAAAGCGGCTGACTCCACCTCTTCTTCAGCCTGCTATCCGCTTCCTCCCTCATTTCTGTCTCCTTCCCTCCCTCCCTCCTTCCCCCATCTGCCAGAGTTCCAGGACTGGAGGCCTTTTTAGGGCATGCTGAACTCTCTGAGCTATTTCTAGGCAAATTCTAGGTTATTTTTAATAGCTTGGTCTCTTGTCATTTCCCCCTCCTCTCTGAAGGTGGCCCCTGATTCTGTCTCCCAGAGCCAAGCTGGGGACATTCCCAGAGGAGCCCGACTGCCTAACCCTACTTTTGCTCTGACAGGGGGCGCTCTGCTGCTTGGTGGCATGGGAGAGGCCAGGTACCTTGCTTAGTCTTAGGTTTTGAGTCACAGGTCACCTTCCTTAGGATTCACTGATGGAAAGACCTTCTCACCTGTTTTTGATGTCTTTCAATCTAGCCTGGGGATGAGACTTTGAGGTCTAATCATCTTTTTTCTGTGGCTTCAGCTTCATTTATTTCCTTCAACTATAAAATGGAGATAAATGACAGTTGTTGTGGGGATTAAAAGGGTTCTCAATATATGGAAAATGTGTAGAATAGTGCACAGCCCATGACGAGTGCTATGAAAATGTCAGTAGTACAGTTATTCTTGTATTGTGATTCATAGAGCTAGAGAATAGCTTTAGTGTCTTACATCTATCCTGGATCCAAAGGCTTGGCTAGAGGGCTCCGCAGTCCGAGCCAGCCTTCCAGGCCAAGCATCCTTCCCAGAGGGCCACCCAGATTGAGAGAGGTCAGGGAGGGGCTGGGTTGGGGCCAGAGGCTTGGAGCGTGTGCGGATCGAGAAGTGCAATGGTAGTGGGCTACTCCTTCGTGTCCACTTAGCCGTGCTCCTAGGGGGTCCCTCTGCCCCCAGCTGCCCCCACTTTTTTGCTTTTCTCTCTGCAGTAGCTGCAGTTGTGGCTACTGTTCTGACTGGAGGCCTGGGGTAGCAGCGGCTCATGAGATGAAGCCAGGAAGGAGTGCATGATAGGGCAGAGGTGGAGAAACTGGAGAGGCTGCGTGTGGTGCTCTCATTCTAGGCAGGATTGGCTGGTCTCTTCTCTACCAGAGTGAGGCTGGGTATATCTATGCACTCAGCTTCTTTCCTCCATATGGCCCCTCTCCTCCTCCCGGCTCTTGGCCTCCAGGGGAGATGTGAGCTTGGAACACTGTTAGCTCTCTGGGTGCTTAGCTATGTGCTGACCACCTGAAGCACTGGGTGTCTTTGTGAGACCGCATAAAGTGTGGATTCTTTAAACGCATCCTGATGCTTCCTGTGGGGCAAACACAAAGATGAATAAGACAGCTCATCCTCCAAGAGATGGCCACCTCTGTGTGTGGAGGTTGCGGGCACTGCTGACTTGTCTGAAGGGTGGCATTTGTTTGCACAGGGCTGTGTCTCCCAGTTTCCTTCTCTTCTCAGGCTACTCTCCCTTCCCCTTCTTCCTCTTCCTTTTCTGGAGTGGTCTCGGTGTTCTGGAGATGGGCCAGTCATTGGGTGGAGTGACAAAGTATTGGAATTAAGTGATGTGATTTGAATTCCAGCATTGCTGCTTACTGTCTTTGAGTGAGTTTCCTTATCTCGTAGGATTATTGCAAAGATTAAATGAAAGCTTACCAACTGAGCTGCACAAATCTGCCATGAAGATTAAATGAGATAATGCATGTAACTTGCCTAGCCTGGTGTCTGGCACATATGTGGAGACGATGAATGTTAGTTCTTCATATCCCCAGTGTCTAGCTGAGGGCCCGACCCATAGTGGGTACTGAATAAATATTACTTCCTTGTCTCATCAGTGCCTGACACAGGGCTTGGCGTATGATGGGGTCTCAATAAATAGTTGTTAAATGAATGCTGGATATACGTTCTCTTCCCTACCACTCCCCATCCCCCTCTCTCTTGACACTGGCTCTGACACGGGATGACAGCTGCTAAGAGATGAGGAGGAGCTGTTGGAAGGGAGAATGGCTCTGTGCCCCTGCACCCCACCCCATCAGAGCTGGTGTGGTGCCCCACAGATGCCTGTCTGTAATATTGCTTGACACAGTTTTGGGTCTCAATCCTAGGAAGGGAGACAAAGGAAAAGAGAGTGTGAGAGAGGCCTTGAGGTTTGTTCTGTTGGCACTTTGAGTCTCTCCTTCTGCAAAGAGAGGATACATGTAACCAGCGGGTGCCAGTCACCTCACCTCACCCTCTTCTTCATTCCTGCCCTGGGGGTTCAGCCCCAGGGAATACAGGCAGCCTCCATTCCCAGCAAAGTCCTCCCCTGGGGAGGATGCCTTGGCTGTGAGCATGGAAAATTGTCCTGCCAAGAAAGTTGTAGCTGGGAAAGTCTGAGGAGGAGGTAGGAGAGAAGACTGGGTGGGGGTGGGGGGTAGGAGAAGAGGAGAAGATCATGGATGTGGGGAAGAGAAGGATGGGGAAGGGGATTCAGGATGTGGGGAGGAGAATGGGGGTAGGATTGGAGACAGAATGAGAAAGTTGTCCCTACCTCCATGCCAGCCAGAGTGACTGATAAAACCCTGGGCTGGCAGAGCTGCTAGGGGGTGGGGTCTTTGCGGGGTCCCTAATGAAGGGGAAGCAGGCCTGTATCTATCCTCTTGCCTGGCCTCCGAAACCGGTCTGTGAACCACACTGGTGCCAGTCTGGGCTCCTGTCACGTTTACTCCCAGCATTCTTGGCATTTCTGGCAGGGTTTCAACTGCACTGGGGTTGGGGAGGAGGGCAGAGCTTGGGGATGAGGCCAAGGAGAGGGAAGGGAAGGCATGCTCATGAACAGGTGCTGGGAACAGGCAGTTCTTTCAAATCAGCCATCTGGCCCAGGCTGCTTGGGTAGGTGTCTTTGTATACTTGGGTGTGTGTGCATCTACTGTGCATGACTGTCCCTCATCCAGATAGTGTGTGCAATTGTAACATGATGATTACGTGACCAAGTGTATTAATTTGTCCTTGCCAGGATTTGAGACAACTGATGTTTGCCCTTTCTCTTTAGTCCTTGAGCACTCTGCTTGGAACCGATGGGTTGAGCTTAGGCAGCTCTGGGGAGGTTGGAGCACTCTGACTTCTAACTCCTGCCCTTGCCCAATTGTGCAGGCTGCTGGTGGGTGCTCCCCAGGCCCTGGCTCTTCCTGGGCAGCAGGCGAATCGCACTGGAGGCCTCTTTGCTTGCCCCCTGAGCCTGGAGGAGACTGACTGCTACAGAGTGGACATTGACCGGGGAGGTACGGCTCTGCGGGGGTGGAGTGGGGGAACACCTGAGGAAGGGAGGAGAGGACTTGGCTTCCTTTTCCCTCCCCTAATTCCCAGTGTCCTGTCTCCAGCTGATGTGCAAAAGGAGAGCAAGGAGAACCAGTGGCTGGGAGTCAGTGTTCGGAGCCAGGGGCCTGGGGGCAAGATTGTTGTAAGTACTACTTCTTGTGACTGAATGCAAGGGTGGCGTGTGTGAGTGTGTGTGGTGTGCCTGTGCATGGGGTGCTTACAGAACACAAGTTGGGTTCATGCTATGATTACCAGGATCTCAGATATAAAAAAGTATAAGACATGGTCTGTCCCTGTCCTTATACATTTAAAAACATCTAACCATTCATCCATCCATCCATTTAGCAAACTCTTAATGAGAACCTTTTAACTATCAGGCATTGTGCTAATTACTGAGAGAAGATATATAAAGACAGGGAAAGCCTGATCCCTGCCAGATAGTTATGGAGAGCCTCATTCTTTCTTTTTCTGTATCTCTCTGTTTCTCTCCTTCTGTGTCTTTCACTAACACGCATGGATACACAGTTACCAATACATGTCACTGTGGGGCAGAATATGGTTACTGTTAAGTGAGTAGTCTAGTCCCCAGTCTATAAAAGCCCAGAGGAGTGGAGAGAAAAGCCTCCTGCAGGCAGGGTGATTTGAGCCAGGCTTTCAAGTATAACTAATACTTAGGGAGTGAAGATGGGAGAAAGTTCTTTGCAAATGAGGTGGTGGCACTTACAGAGGTCCGGGGGCAGGACCAAGCTTGGCGTGCTGGAGGATTGTCACATGATCAGGGAGGCAGGCATTCTGTGTGCTGGTTTAGTCGTGTATGTGTGTGTGTGTGTCTGTGTGAGCCCAGGCAGAATGTGGAACATGGACATCTCCATGAGAGGGCAAAGATACAGGGTTATGCATGGACCTGCCTAACACTGGCTGTGGGTGGTGCTCAAGTGATGTTGGCCGAGGGGCATGTGTATGTGTGTGTGTGTGTGTGTGCGCGCGCGCACGCGCGTGCATGTGCACATGTCCCACTGTCTGTCAAATATCTGTATTCCTGACCCACACAGTGAAATGACCCCTCATCCCTTCCTCCGACAGACTTGCGCACACCGATATGAGGCAAGGCAGCGAGTGGACCAGATCCTGGAGACGCGGGACGTCATTGGTCGCTGCTTTGTGCTAAGCCAGGACCTGGCCATCCGTGATGAGTTGGATGGTGGGGAGTGGAAGTTCTGTGAGGGGCGCCCCCAAGGCCATGAGCAATTTGGGTTCTGCCAGCAGGGCACCGCTGCTGCCTTCTCTCCTGACAGCCACTACCTCCTCTTTGGGGCCCCAGGAACCTATAACTGGAAGGGTTAGTCACTCCTTGGAGAGGGGAGAAGGGGACAAAACCTCTTACCCGAGAGATGGGATTGGGGTGGCACATGGCCAAGCATGACCACATGTTCATTGCCATATAGCCCTGGGGCACTGCTGTGCCTCCACCCCCATGGTGCTAGCACACACATGAATGGGGGTGCCCTCTCCTTCGCATGGCCAAGTGTTCCTCAACACGCTGGCATGAGCCCCGACATGCACGGTGGGGACTGCCCACCCACCTGGGGCCTGCATGCTGCAACACCAGCCCACCCTCATCACTGCCATTCCCATCTCCGCACGCTGACACTGGCTGAGCTGACACTCGGTGAGTGTGATGCCAAGTCTGGGGACCCCAGGAAGCTTGGGCTACAGAGATGGTGGAGATAGGGCTGGAAAGGAGAGGAGGGGCTTCCCCATGTGCCTGTTGAACTCAGTGTCCGGCCTGAGGGGTGCTCCTTGCTCCCTGCCATGAGCACTAACAGGATTGTCCTTGCAGGCACGGCCAGGGTGGAGCTCTATGTGCAGGGCTTGGCGGACCTGGCACACCTGGACGACGGGCCCTACGAGGCGGGGGGTGAGAAGGAGCAGGACCCCCACCTCATCCCGGTCCCTGCCAACAGCTACTTTGGTAGGGACCCCTCCTGGCCCAGAGTTGCTCTAACCCTCTGCTCCTCTCTCTTGTCCTCCCCCTCCGTGCTCCCATCCTTCTGTCTCTGTCTCTGTCTCTCACCCTTTCTATCTCTGACTCTTATCTCTGTGGTTGCTTTGTCACCCATTTTCTCTCTCCACCTCTTCCTCTTCCACCTTCTTCTTCTGGCCTTTCTGTGTGGCTCTGTCTCCATACTCTGTGGTCCCTCCTCTGGATATCCCTTCCCTGGTGTTTCCCCCACTCCCCACCTGCCCCCCACAGGGTTGCTTTTTGTGACCAACATTGATAGCTCAGACCCTGACCAGCTGGTGTATAAAACTTTGGACCCTGCTGACCGGCTCCCAGGACCAGCCGGAGACTTGGCCCTGAATAGCTACTTAGGTTTGTAAGCTCCCACCTTTTGGGCCCTTGGGGCTTGGCACTGGCCTCCCCTCCTTCCCCAGGGAACACATCTCTTCCTACCCAGCCCCTCTCCCCACACCCAGGGAAACTCATGTTGGCCCCAAATTACAGAGAAGAGCTGGGCCCAGTGACCAGGCCTGAGAAGAGGAGGCCCCACAGATGGTAGCCTCGGGGGCTGTGAGGGAGGGTCTCCATGGGGGAAGATCCAGGTGGAATGAGAGTGACAGGGCTGAGACCATCCTGGGAAGGACAGTTCTGACCTCTGGGGGGCCTTTCTCAGAGGGATGGATGGGGGGCACAAATGGAGAATGGTTCAGCCTTGTTGGTAAGTCCCTCTCATGGTCTCATCTGCATCCCACTGCAGAGGAGGAGGAAGCAAGGCCTGGGAGATGTTTAGGTGAAGGAAGCTCTTCCTCCCTCCCCCTTGGCTCCCCCCTCCATGTGAAGACCTCTTCTCCCTGCCAGGATGGTGGGAGTGGGGACAAAGAAGGTGCCCTGGATGGGAGTGGGGCCTCCTAGAGTGTGTAGACGGGAGAGGGACCAACCCTTTCCCCTGGTTCCCTGGCATGGGCATGTGTGGTGCCCCAGCCCCAGCTCCTGCCACCGTCCTCAGCCTCCTGCACAGCCACCTGGCCTTCTCAGTCATTGCCTTTCTCTCCTCACCACCGCCAGTCCCCGAGGCTGACCTCATCGCACGTCTCGTGCCAAACTCCTGTCTCTGGGACAGGCGGGTGTGGGAGGATGGCCAGGCCCCCTCCAGCTATGGTGATGATGACTTGGGGTCACCTCCACCTTTTGGCCCTGGACCAGTTGGGAAGGGGCAGGAGTGGGTGGGGCTGTGGCACACCCTGCCTTCTGAGTCTTGGGGTAACACTCACTGGTAAGTCATCCTCCACCCAGGTTTCTCCATTGACTCGGGGAAGGGTCTGGTGCGAGCAGAGGAGCTGAGCTTTGTGGCAGGGGCCCCCCGTGCTAACCACAAGGGGGCTGTGGTCATTCTGCGCAAGGACAGTGCCAGTCGCCTGGTGCCTGAAGTTATGCTGTCTGGGGAGCGCTTGACCTCCGGCTTTGGCTACTCACTGGCTGTGGCTGATCTCAACAATGATGGGTGAGAGTCAGCAGACGGGAGTGGAGCCTGGGGGAGGCTTAGTGCAGGAGGTATGATTTGGCATCCCCTCCTGACTCCTCTGGCTGGGGAGGACCCCACACTGATTGTTGCCCTTTCTCCCTAGCTGGCCAGACCTAATAGTGGGTGCCCCCTACTTCTTTGAGCGCCAAGAAGAGCTGGGGGGTGCCGTGTATGTGTACATGAACCAAGGAGGTCACTGGGCTGGGGTCTCCCCTCTCCGGCTCTGCGGCTCCCCTGACTCCATGTTTGGGATCAGCCTGGCTGTCCTGGGGGACCTCAACCAAGACGGCTTCCCAGGTGTGATTGGGAACTGGAGAGGCTCAGCGGAGGGTAGTGGTGGGGCAGGGGTGGAGGGGCCCACAGAAGTCAAGGGGGTGGTCTTCTGAGGGCTCGAGGAGAGAAGAAACCTGGGCTGACATCTGAGCTTTGTCATTTATCAGCTTTGTGACCTTGGGCAAGTTACTTAACCTTTCTGAGTTAGTAATATCTTGAGGGAGTGGCTGAGGGGATTAAAAATGATGTATGTAAGGTGCCTGGGACTTCGTAGCCTCTCAATAAATAGAAAACGTATTTTCTAGGACTGAGTGACTGAGGGAAGGTTGGGGCCTGGGTCTTGTCCGCCATCCCCCAGCCAGTGTGGTGCCTTTCTCCTGTGCCCCGCAGATATCGCTGTGGGTGCCCCCTTTGATGGGCATGGGAAAGTCTTTATCTACCACGGGAGCAGCCTGGGAGTTGTAGTCAAACCTTCTCAGGTGAGGGGTTATAGGGATGAAGGAACAGGTGTGGGTGGAATAAAGGCAGCAGAGAGCTGGGGAGGCGGAGGCCTGGGGGACACAGGGTTGGGGGCTGACAGCTGGTCCCCCAGGTGCTGGAGGGTGAGGCCGTGGGCATCAAGAGCTTTGGCTACTCCCTGTCGGGAGGCCTGGATGTGGACGGGAACCATTACCCTGACCTGCTGGTGGGCTCCTTGGCTGACACTGCTGTGCTCTTTAGGTGAGCCCCTCCCTCTCCTCTGCCTTCTCCCTCCCTGAGGCCATTAGCCCCTCCCTGTGACTCTGACCCCTACTCCAGTTCCAAATATGAAGCTGAAGAGTCTTTCCCAACCTCTTGTGCTCATGTTTCTTGCACCCTTGACTCCTTACTCGCCCAGGGCCAGACCCATCCTGCACGTCTCCTATGAGGTCTTCATTGCTCCACGAGCCATTGACCTCGAACAGCCCAACTGTGCTGGTGGCCACTCAGTCTGGTGAGGCGGGACGCAAGTGGAGGGCAGGGGAGGCCACCAGGGCTTGGTTCCTTCCCCATTCCCCCACCACTGTTCTCCCGTTCTCGCCCCAGTCTGGTGCTGGGGGCTGGGGCTGTGGCAGGGGTGGGCAGGGTGGGGGGTATGTGGCTTTGTTTGGCTCAGAACCCCCCCCGTTGTCCCCACAGCGTGGACCTAAGGATCTGTTTCAGCTACACTGCAGCCCCCAGCAGCTACAGCCCTATTGTGGGTGAGTGGGGTTCCCCCCAACTGCTCACCCTGTTGGGTTTCCAGGGCAGGCCACTCCAAGGTGGAGAGAAGGGCACTGTGGCGACAGGGTCAGATGGAGCAGTTGCCCAGCTCACTGGCTCCTCTCCTCTCCCCACACGCCACAGCCTTGGATTATGTGTTGGATGGGGACACGGACCGGAGGCTCCGGGGCCAGGTGCCCCGTGTGACCTTCCTGAACCGTAGCCCAGATGATCCCAAGCACCAGGCCTCGGGCACCGTGTGGCTGAAGCACCAGCATGACCGAGTCTGTGGAGACACCATGTTCCAGCTACAGGTGGACACTGACCCCTTGGCCTCTGATAGTCATTGTCATCGCATGATATTTTTCTCTTGATTCTGCTTTGCTGCTCCTTTCCTCGCACACTCTCACCTCCTCCTGAGATCCAGACTTTGGGGAAGCCTCCCTTCTGGGTTCATGTCCTCCTTACCTGCTGCCTTCTTGTGTCTCCTGTCAAGTTCTGCACTCCCTAGAGGTCGAGAGGGCAAGTTCTGTTGTCATATCTGGTCCTCAAAGCCCTAAATCTTGGGTCTCCTCCCTTCTCTATCCTGGTCTCTCCCTTCTCCTTGCTCAGTTCTCCACCTCTCTCCTTCATCTCCCTAAGCTGCTTTCCAAGTTTCAGGATCTGTCCTAGGTCTGGTTGGGGCTTTGGGCAGCGCTGGGGCCTGGGGATTGTCCCAGTGATGAAAAATCTTTCCTCTTCCCAGGAGAATGTCAAAGACAAGCTACGGGCCATTGTGGTGACCTTGTCCTACAGTCTGCAGACCCCTCGGCTCCGGCGACAGGCTCCTGGCCAGGGCCTGCCCCCAGTGGCCCCCATCCTTAATGCCTACCAGCCCAGCAGCCAGCGGGCAGAGGTGAGCGTGGGTTCTGGTTTAGCCCAGAAGGGGGAGCTGGGAGGGGCTATGATCATGGTCACTTATCAGTGACACTGTTCGTGGCTTGCAAAGCTCTTCCACATATGTTATCTCAGTGGTTCCTCATATCTCTAGGTACTGTAACAAGTCAACCCCAAATGTAAAATGGCCCAGATGACCACGTGTTCCTAGTCAGAGGGGACAGTGCTCTTCCACTCCGTTTAGTCATTCAGGAGCCCAGACTGATGGGGGTCTGTCATCTTCACACATGGCCTCTGAGGTTCTTAAGTTACCTTCATCTCATTCAGCTAGAAGGGGGAACATGAAGCTCCTTGTGTGGTTCTCATGGCCGGGCAGAAGTGGTGCCTAAATCAGGAATTCAGCTGCATGTAGCGGGGCTGAAGAAATGTGGTCTAGCTGTGGACTAGCCTGCTAGTCTATACCACCTCATGTAATACTCCCCTCACTTTACTGATGATAACACAGCTCAGAGTGGTTAAGTGACCAGCCCAGTATCACACAGCTAGTAAGCAGCAGATCTGAGAACTGAACACAGGTTGTTGAATACTGTGATACTCTAACCCACCAAATGCCTTGGTGACACATTCACCCCGTGCCTCGTCCCCTGGGAATGACCCTCTCCCCAAATCTCTCCCCAGATCCACTTTCTGAAGCAAGGCTGTGGTGAAGACAAGATCTGCCAGAGCAATCTGCAGCTGGTCCATGCCCGCTTCTGTGCCCGGGTCAGCGACACAGAGTTCCAGCCTCTGCCCATGTGAGGGGTGTAGGGAGTGTGTGTGGGGGGCAAGAGTTCAAGGAATGGAAGGACCAGGCAGAGGGAGGGGCTGAGCCTGCAGAGAGGGCAGAAGGCTAGGGAGGACCTGCTGATGATTCAGAGGACTGCCAGATGAGGGTCAGTGATGGGGCCACAGGGCTCCCTGTGAGGAATAACAACCCTTCACAATACTTATAATAGTACACAGTTGTCATACATCTTATTGTGTAGTCTTCACAAGTCTGTGAGGTTGGAATTATTACTAGTCCCATTTTATAGATGGGGAACTGAGGCCTAGAGAGGTTAAGTTACTTGCCCAAGGTAAGTAAGTGAGGGAGTGGGAATGAGAACAGAGGTTTCCTTACTCCCAGTCATGCTTTGAAAGATCTGAGCCTTGGATTGTTCTGTGATTTGAGGGCCTGGGGTGGGAGGAGAGTCTCTGGGAGAGGAGGGAGGCAGTGTACCCTGGGGGAGAGGCTGGGAGTGGGAGAGGCAGGGGAAGGTGTTCAGATCTTAGAGTGAGTGGGGTCTGACCCTCCAGGGATGCAGATGGGACGACAGCCTTGTTTGCACTGAGTGGGCAGCCAGTTATTGCACTGGAACTGATGGTCACCAATCTGCCCTCGGACCCAGCCCAGCCCCAGGCTGATGGGGACGATGCCCATGAAGCCCAGCTCCTGGTCACCCTCCCTGCCTCGCTGCACTACTCAGGAGTCCGGGCCCTGGACCTTGTGGTGAGGACCTGGGGAAGGGTGGGGTGGGGTCAGAGGGGTTCCAGTAACCTACACTGACCTCTCCTTCTCTCTCCACTCCAGGAGAAGCCGCTCTGCCTGTCCAATGAGAATGCCTCACATGTTGAGTGTGAGCTGGGGAACCCCATGAAGAGAGGTGCCCAGGTTGGCACGTCTGCCCTTATCCCTGAGTGGCCCCCCCCCAAGCCCTAGCCCTCCCCTGACCCTCATCTTGTTCCACTTGTGGCCCAGGTGATCTTCTATCTCATTCTGAGCACCTCGGGGATCACCATCGAGACCACGGAGCTGGAGGTGGAGCTGCTGTTGGCCACGTGAGCCTGGTAGGGCTGGGGTGGGGGGGAAGTGGAGGCAGTTGGATTGGCCTCATCTGACCCCTTGGGGGTGCCCGTGCCCCTGTCCACATGCCAGGATCAGTGAGCAGGAGCTGCACCCAGTCTCTGCCCGAGCCCGTGTCTTCATTGAGCTGCCACTGTCCATTGCAGGGTAAGCCCTGCCCAAGCATACACCTCTGCTGGAGGGCAGGGGCACTGTCACTCCCAAGATGTGGCCTTACCCTAGACCCTCCAATCAGCTGGGCCGCAGGCCGCCTCAGCCCCTGTTCTGATCCCTCCATGCCAGGGTGGCCATTCCCCAGCAACTCTTCTTCTCCGGCGTGGTGAGGGGTGAGAGTGCCATGCGGTCTGAGCGGGATGTGGGCAGCAAGGTCAAGTATGAGGTCACGGTAAGTGTCCTGGGATGTGTCCCCTTCTTGGCACAGAGGAGAGGCTAAGCCATACCCCAAGGGCTGGGGCTCTTCTCTCATGTGGCAGCATGGTGGTCTGGTGAGATCGAGGCCTCTGCCCTGCATTTGGACCTTGGCTGTGGGCAGAGGTTTGTTCTGGGGCCTTAGCTGACCAGTTTTTGGTCATTTCTGACTGGCCAGCTCACCTACTGGTCTGAGAGACCATGGGAGCTCAGGGAAGCTTCTCTGCTTGGGGCCTCAGCTGGGGGATGGGAGCATGGGGACAGGGTTGATGTCTCTTCCTAGAACTCTGCTTTGCTTGGCTGGGGCTTCCCCTCACACCTTCCAGGGACACTTCCAGGTTTTCCTGGGTTTGGTATGGGGAGACAATGGTGTCTGGTGGGGTATAGGATCCTGAGTCTTTGTTTTAAGAGTGGTTCCTAAGACCCTCCCCTCAGCCCTGTTCCTCCATCTCTGTGGATTCAGCGTCCTCTCGGAAACTGACTCCCTCCCTTCATACTTTTTTATCCACAGGTCTCCAACCAAGGCCAGTCTCTCAACACCCTGGGCTCTGCCTTCCTCAACATCATGTGGCCCCACGAGATTGCCAATGGCAAGTGGCTGCTGTATCCCATGAGGGTGGAGCTGGAGGGCGGACAGGGGCCTGGGCAGAAAGTGCTCTGTAACCCCAGGCCCAACATCCTCCACCTGGTGAGACTTAGGCAGGATTGGGGGGTTAGACTTTGGGAGAGATGTCGAGGGCATAGGGGTTGTGTGTGGGGGTGGGCCAGGAGAAGGTGGTGGGAGAAGATGTGACCTCAGGATTGGTGCATTTGGAGGGACACTCTCTGGACCCTTCCTGCCCATGTCTAGGATGTGGACAGTAGGGATAGGAGGCGGCGGGAGCTGGAGCAGCCAGAGCAGCAGGAGACTCATGAGCAGCCAGAGCCCAGCATGTCCTGGTGGCGAGTGTCCCCTGCTGAGAAGAAGAAAAACATCACCCTGGTGAGGGTAGCTCAAATGTGGTGCAGTGAGACTAGAGGATGCCATGGGGGCGCGGAGTTTCAGGGTGGTGGGTGTCAAGCCAGGGTGGCCTGTCGAGATGTGTGATCGTTAAACACCTGGGGCAAGTTGACAAGACAGTTCACATCACAATATGCGGGAGGTGGCACCTGTGAGGGGCTGTGACACTGCAGATCCCTCCCCTCCCCAAGTGCTCGCTCCAGAGCAAGGCGCAGGCCCTAAAGACAGCCAAGTAATCGATTCTCCTCACACTTATATAAAATGTGACATGTTATAGGACGGGATGGGTGTTAACCACCTTTGAGATCTGTTTGTTGTTCTTTTGAGCTCTTATAGGACAAAAAAGTCAATTTGTGTAGGGACACCTGCTTGCCTTTCACGTCAAAAACACTACGTTTAAAAAGTTCTAATAATTAAAATTACAGAATACTATATGGGATTCATTAAGTCTATCCCTTTTGAGCGGTATTACTTCTCCTTTTTCTACTTGTTTCATGTAGTTTTGTTCTTTAGGTGGGTTTATTGAGCAAATTGACACATGCTCTGTGCTCCAGGATGTGCATCTTCCCGGTGCTGGCAGTGAGAATGTGGTGGGGACGTGGATCAGGGGGTATGTGGCCTAGTTGTGAGGAGGTGGAGGGGAATCCCAGGGATGGAAGTGTGAGCAGCAGAACCGAGGGGTCGAGGAGACCGTGTGCAGGCGAGTCTACCCGCCCTCTGCAAGGGAGCTCCATTGTCTCACCCCGGCCCTCCTCTGGGCCCTCAGCTTCCCCACTTCCCTGAGAGCAGGCCCTGAAGCAAGCTAGGGAACCTCAAGGGACATCTCCACCTATGTTAGTGCTGTTGCTCTATTCTATGGTTTGTCCTGCCTTCTCCACATGGCTGATTTCCTCTGAGAGGCCTCCTTTTTCAATAAGACCTTCAAATAGATTCTTTTTTCAAAAAAAAAATTTTTTTTTTTAAAAGATGACCGGTAAGGGGATCTTAACCCTTGACTTGGTGTTGTCAGCACCACGCTCAGCCAGTGAGCGAATCGGCCATCCCTATATGGGATCCAAACCCATGGCCTTGGTGTTATCAGCACCACACTCTCCCGAGTGAGCCACGGGCCAGCCCTCAAAAAATTTTAAATTTATTTATTTATTTAACGTATTTACTTATTATTTATTTACTTATTTAACTGGCAAATAAAAATTGTATCTATTTATCATGTACAACATGATGTTTTGAAATATTGTATGCACTGTAAAATGGCCAGATTGAGCTAAATAACACATGCATACCTCACTTAACTTATTTTTTTGTGGTGAGAACACTTAAAATCTTTTTCTTAACGACCTTTGAAGAATATAACGTACGGTGATTAACTGGAGTCTCTATGCTGTGCAATAGATCTCTTGAACTTATTCCTCCATCTAACAAGCTTTGTATCCTTTGGTTGACATCTCTCCAACCCTTCCACCCCCCAGACCTAGGTAACCACCACTCTACTCTCTCCTTGTATGAGTTCAGCTTTTTTAGAGATTCTACATATAGTGAGATCATGTAGTATATTGTCTTTCTGTGCCTGGCTTATTTCACTTAAAATAATGTCTGAAATAGATTCTTTTACATAAAATTAAGGCAGAAGGCCTTGCTTTTAGACAAATTGACTAACAATTCTTGAATTGCTCACAAGTGGCAAAATAAAAGACAACTTAAAGAATTCAAACACTCTCAAAGCCATTCTTCTGTATATGGATTGTGGTGTGATAAATATAACATAACTTTTAGGCAAATAGTTCATTAGGCGGTGATTGGGCCAAATGGATTTAGGTCAGGCCCGGAAGGAGCACAGTCGGAGTCCCTTGTCCCCTCAGCAGCTTCTGGGGCAGCCTCCTCCTCCTTCAGTGAGTCTGGGCTTAGCGCAGGGGTGTGGCTTGGCCGAATATGGACCTGAGTTCAAATATCTGCTCCACCACTAACTAGCTTTGCTAGCTCTGTTACCTGAGTCTTCTTCTTTTTTTTTTTTTTAAAAAGATGACCGGTAAGGGGATCTTAACCCTTGACTTGGTGTTGTCAGCACCACGCTCAGCCAGTGAGCGAACCGGCCATCCCTATATGGGATCCGAACCCGTGGCCTTGGTGTTATCAGCACCACACTCTCCCGAGTGAGCCACAGGCCGGCCCTAAATGTTTTTATTTTTTAAAGAATTCTAAGTGCAATGTGTGATCCTGGATTGCATGCTGAAACAAAGAAAGGACATCAGTGAGAAATCTGCTGGAATCTGAATAAAGTCTATAGTTAACAGCATGGTACCAACCTTAATTTTTTTGTTTTACCAGATGTAAGATATCAACATTAGGGGAAGCTAAATGAAGAGTATTTTGGAACTTTCTGTAATGTCTCTGCAAGTTTTCTGTAAATATAAAATTATTCCAAAATAAAACATTCAAAGAAAAAGGTGGACTGGCTGTTTAGCTCTTTTGAGAGAGCATGGTGCAGACAACACCAATATCAAGGGTTCGGATCCCCATACCAGCCAGCCACCAAAATAATAATTAATAATAATAGTAATTGTTATTATTGAGTCTTCTTGGGCCTCAATTTCCTCATTTGAAAAATGAGGATGAGAATAATATGCACCTTGCAGGACTGTTGTGAACCTTAAATAAGTGTCTGGCAAGTGATAGGTGCTCAATAAATGGGACCGCCTTTAGGTCACATAAGCATCAGTTGGGGAAGCTGTTCTGCCTGCTGCTGTCAAGCAAGAGATCCCCTCCATGCATCCACCCCTAATGCATTTCAAAGACAAATAGCTGAGATTTAGGGTAGGTAGCTATTTTGGACCACAGGATTAGTTTGGGAAGACTTTCTGGAGGAGAGGAGCTTGAGGTTGGTGATGGCAGGTGCAGCAGGGTGGGGCTCAGCAGCTCAGAGCCCTGCCTGTCCTTGTTCCCAGGACTGTGCTCGGGGCACGGCCAACTGCATGGTGTTCAGCTGCCCCCTCTACAGCTTTGACCGTGCGGCTGTGCTGCACGTCTGGGGCCGCCTCTGGAACAGCACCTTTCTGGAGGTGAGGGCACCACTGGGACTACAGACTGGGTTTCTTCTTCCCTCAAAACTCTCCCGGACTCACTTCTCTGTCTACCTTCTCCCTGTCCAAATGCAGTGTACTCTTTACCCAAGCCAGGCAGAAACACCCTTTGTGTTTGGCACCCTTCCATTTATAATTTCAGGAGCTGGGGGGAAGTAGGGGAAATATGGGGCATGTAGGAGGAGGGTTTCCTTCCTTACGCCTTCAGGAGTACTCAGCTGTGAAGTCGCTGGAAGTGATTGTCCGAGCCAACATCACGGTGAAGTCCTCCATCAAAAACTTGCTGCTCAGAGATGCCTCCACAGTGGTGAGCTGCAGGGCTGGGGGATGGGTGGGGGACTCTCTTCTCTCCTGCTCTGTCCAGCTGTTGCTCCATTAACTCCTTGATCCCCAGATCCCAGTGATGGTATACTTGGACCCCGTGGCTGTGGTGGCAGAAGGAATCCCCTGGTGGGTTATCCTTCTTGCTGTCCTGGCTGGGCTGCTGGTGCTGGCGTTGTTGGTGCTGCTCCTGTGGAAGGTGAGGCTTGGGGAGGGGTGGGGCTGGTGGGGGCTGGGCTTCATGGTCAGGTGGGCAGCTTTTTGTACTGTGGTTCTTTCATCCACCCACACACTCACATACTCAGCAAATCTGCATTGAGCATTTCCCCTGCATGTGCCAGGAACTCTGTCAGGCCCTGGATGTTTCAAAGATAAGTCAGATGTAGATCTTAAATTCTCAGGGATTTTATAGTCTAGTGGGGGTGGTGAGCCTTGTTGTGAAGGACAAGGCAGAAGTTTTTTTTTTTTTAAAGATGACCAGTAAGGGGATCTTAACCCTTGACTTGGTGTTGTCAGCACCACGCTCAGCCAGCGAGCGAACCGGCCATCCCTATATGGGTTCCGAACTCGGGGCCTTGGTGTTATCAGCACCGCACTCTCCCGAGTGAGCCACGGGCCGGCCCAAGGCAGAAGGTTTTGAGTTGAGAAACTGCAGTGGAAGTTCAGAGGAAGAAAGGCTTGAGAGGAGGTGGCTCTGGAGCCCTGAAGGTGGGGCATAGGATCTGGATATGAGTAGGTGGGATAGGTGGGGCCTGAGCCTTCCAGAAGGAGGATGGTAGGCAAAGTCACAGAGGCAGGGAAGTGCAGTCTGATTTAACTAGAGTGTGGCAGTCAAGGCTGGAAAGGAAACTGTGGCCCAGAAGGCCAACAAGTGTGGAGAACTTCTTCTAGGAAACTGCCTCCAGGCCTGAATTGGGAACTTCCATATACCAGCCTCCACATGGAACTATTCTAGTACACACACAGCTGTATACAGAATCACTGGCATCTGGGGCTCAACATTAGAGCATACACAGGCACATGTCAGTACCGGGAATTCCTCAGTCTTCCCATCCTCTGCCTCCTTTGCCCCCCTCCTCCCTCAACATCCCAGTGTGGCTTCTTCCATCGGAGCAGCCAGAGCTCATCTTTTCCCACCAACTATCACCGGGCTCATCTGGCTGTGCAGCCCTCGGCCGTGGAAGTTGGGGGTCCAGGGACTGTGGGGTAACTTGTGTATGTGCATGTGTGTCTGTATGTGTGTGTGTGGGTATGTATGTGTGTGAGTATAAGTAGAGACCCCAGCATTCAGAGGATCGGGAGTGTGCAGGGTGAAGAAATGAGATTGCATGAGGGGGAATGTGAGTCCTAGGAACTGAGGTGAGAGCTAATTTGAAGGCTGAGGTTATGGGGTGAGTATACACAGCCTGGGACATGCACAAAGGACTGGGTGGGCTCATGGAGCGTGAGCATGTGGGAGTGTGGGGAGGTGCCATGCATGTCTTTTCTACGGGCCTGAGTGTGCAGAGATGGATGTGCAAGGCAATGCCATGCAGTCTGAGTCTTGGGCAGTCCTGAGTGTGAGCGTGCAAGGGGCACATTACTTCCTTCATATGTAGGTCCAACATGGTCAAGATTTAGGGAGGGGCTGGACTACTGTATTCACGGATGAGAGGGCTCTCCTCTAAGGGGATGCTGCCCAGCATACAAATACACAGGGTGCATGTGTATGGGACTTGAGAGGCATTGTTCCAGGTATGCAGGGGTCTAGAAAGCCATTTTCTTCCTCAGATCTTGTTCATGTTCTGGGGGACACTATTGTGTCTCTTAAGAAACTTGGGTGGGTGGAAACCTTTGGAGTCAGAGGTCCCCTTCTGGTCTCTCTCTTGCTGTGAATGCGGACCTGGCGACCCAGCACCGATGGTGGCTGAAAGGAAAAACCCCGGCCGGAGCACAAAATAAGACTCACCAGGAGACAGGGACTCAACTGAAGTGTATTAGGCAGGCAAAATGAACAAGTGGCTGCCCTCTCCAGAGTGGGAGCAGCAGCGGGGAGAGTCGGGCTGGGCCTTTTATATCCAGTTAGGCTGAGCTGGACTGTTCCTATTGGCTAAGAAGGAAGGGGAGGGAAGCCAGCGGGGTTTAAGCTGAGCTGGGACTTTCTTATAGGTGGGGAAAATTGCGTGCACGGGAAAGTGACATGGCAGCTAGGGGATTTTTCTGGGTGGAGGTTTTCTGGGAAACTTTCCCAGGTGCCATTTTGTGTATCTCGGTCTTTAATGCCATTTTACTTTTCTGGTGGAGGGTATATTAGCCAACAGTGGCACTATCAGTGCCACCGATGGGGCTACCTACTGCACTAGATGCTGTTTAGCCTGTCTTTTCTGCTGCAGCTGCTTCTTTCTGTCCCAGGGATGGTGAGGGCAAGGATATGCGCTGTGCTGGGCATCTGCTCCAGGGACCTCAGCCCTGCAGGCTCCTGATGTCTGGCCTGGTGTCCTTACAGATGGGATTCTTCAAGCGGGCGAAATATCCTGAAGCCGCAGTGCCCCAGTACCACGCGGTGAAGATCCCGCGGGAAGACCGACAGCAGTTCAAGGAGGAGAAGACGGGAACCATCCTGAGGAACAACTGGGGCAGCCCCCGGCGGGAGGGCCCCGATGCTCACCCCATCCTGGCTGCCGATGGACACCCTGAGCCAGGCTCTGATGGGCACCCCGTGCTAGGCACTGCCTAGCTTCCTTTGTCCCAGCTTGGCCCATGGGCCCCCTCCACCCCTTCCCTAGTGATGGCTCCTCAGGGTGAAGAGGGTAGAGTGGCTAGCTAGTTTGGCATCAAGATTTGGCAGGATCTGCTTCCTCAGGAGCACAGAGCTCCCCCAACCCATGAGAACCACCCCCAACTTCCCCTTAGAATGCTGCGAGACTAGAATGGGTGAATCAGGGATGGGGCTGTGGGCCAGAGTGAGCAGGGCAGGGTGTCTCTGTGCAAAGGTGGGGAGAAGAGATCCTATTCCTTCCCTCTCCATTCACTCCATGTAACAGGACCCAAGGAGTGCCTTAGCCTAGAGGGTCGGGGAGAAGGTTGTGTCGCTGACTCAGGGTCACAACCTGGTCTCCCGTCTCCTCTGACTTTAGTTTGCTGCATCAGTCTAGTGGTTTTGTCTATTTATTAAAAAATATTTGAGAACAAAACCTCTGGCTTCTTTACTGAGTCCTGCTCCCTCAACCCCAGGGTGTCTGATTCCCTCTGGCACCCCTACAGCTCAGGATAAAGGTGGTGGAGGGAGGGTTAGGTGGCTTGGCAGGGATGCATGTATCATGAATTTTGTGACCAGTTTGTCGAGGCACATGGGTGTGGCCTCAGAAGGAGGGCAGGGGGACATTACCATGGCAACAGGCAAAGGGGTGGGCAGACGTTGGGAGGCCAGTCCAGAAATTTGCAGTTAAGGAGACAATAGGGCATAACTGTTTGCTCCCTCTGGTCATGGTAGGAAAAACCCTTTTTCACTGTAGAAGGCAGGATTGAAGCTAGAGAGTACCCCTGGCAGAGGTAGAGGAGAGGGATTGGGGGGTGGTGGGGGGAGAATGGCTTCTCTTATTCTTCTGTTGGGTCCCTTCAGTAGAAGACAGACTTGGCTGGTGGGTGCTTGTTCTCACTGGAGGCAGAGAAGGAAGCGAATGACTGCCTTGGGGGTTTGGGCAAGGTTATTTCACAGCCTTTCCCATGATGTGGGGCCCAACAGGTAACCACTTGAAGGGAGGGGGCTGTTGTTCCATTTGGACTTCAGAGAACTGGGCATTCTCAAGATCTTTCCAGGTCTCTCTGGTGAGGTAGCAGCCATCTGTAATGTGTTTCCAGGTGGGCTCTAAGACTTGCTGCCACATGAAGGCCCAGCTTCCACGCGGCTCCGCCACATGCTCCCAGAAAAACAATACTCCTCCCTGGGAGGGAGAAGATGGTTCATGTTAGCGAGCGGATCCATTCCACTCCTTTCCTTTAACCCCACCTCCATTGCACCGATCAAGCCAGGTTGAACCTCTTGGAGAAGTGAGGGTTGCTGGTCTGAGAGCATGGAGCAAAACGTCCTGCTCCTGACTTTTTCTGCGTCCCCTGCTCCTACACTCCCACTCAAACTGCATGTAACGAACCTCTTGCGACTGAGTAGGGGTGACTGGTGAGAGACCCTTAAAGAATGGCCTGAAGGACAGCATTGCCGAGGGCAGGCAGAGGGGGAGATTGAGAAACAGGAGCTGATGCCCCGTTGCATTCAGAGACACTTGAGCAACCTCTCTTCTGAGACTCAGGTGCACACATCACCACTTCCTGGATATTTCCAAGAACATCTCCATTGAACATCCCAGAGAAACCTCAGACTGACTCCTCACTAGAGCTGGGCTTCCACAAGCTCTTCTCTCCTCAATATCTTCTCTCTAGGTGATCCTGTTCCCACCCCCACCCCTCCACACTGAATTACCAGCTACAAGCTGGTGATGTCCAAATCTAAATCTCCAGGCTGCATCTTTTTCTGACATCTAGATATGGACTTCTAACTGCCTGTATGTCTTCTCTGGTTGACTGTCTCAGTAGCACCTCAGACCTAATGAGTCCAAAACAGGTTTCTTCCATCTCAGCAAATTGCACTTTCATCCACTCTCCCCTCCGTTGCTCATGCCAGAAACCTGGGAACCATTCCCAACTTCTTTCTCTCCACACCCTGTTCAAAGTCTTCCAGATTTTACTTCCTGTAATGTCTCTACCCAAAACACACTTTTACTCCCCCACTGCTTAATCCATCAGATCTCAATTTAAGCCTCTCTTCCTTGTTGTCCTCCCCAACTCCCCTTCCCCTCTCCCTGTGTGTGCTTCCACAGCACCCCTCTGTGCCCCATTGTGGCACTTGTCATATCTCCTATTTGCCTGCAGCTGGGGGTGGGTGGGCTGTCTAACCTGCTAGTACATCAGATCCCTCTTCCTGGGGACCCCGGACGCTGGGGTGGCCAGTGCTGTGTTTGCCCACCCCATGCCCATTCCCTTCCCACTCTGCTCACCGGCCTGAGCACTCTCTGGACCTCCTGCAGGACCCTCCTTGGGTTCTGCACAGAGCACAGCACCAGGGTGCAGACTACCACATCCATGGATCCATCGGCCAGTTGCTTCATGTCCTCTCCGGGAGCCACCACAAACCGCTCATATTGGAGGTGCCTGTTCTCAGCCATGCTCTTTCTCAGGAACTTCTCAAAGTGAGGATTAGGGTCCAGGCAAGTGATTCTGCAGCCAGGCGGGTAGAACTGGAAGTTGGCACCGGTGCCGCAGCCCAGTTCCAGCAGGGACACCTTCCTGGAGGCTCCCATAAGCCCCTTTATCTGGCTAAAGAGCTCCCGTTTCTTGCTCTCCATTTTGCGGTTGTTCTTGACAGTCAACACAACCATCAGGTAGGGGAAGTAGCTTTTGCATAGGGGCTGCCAGCAGCCCAGCAGAACCATCAGGTGCAGGGGCAGCGTCAGGAGCAGCACCAGCAGCTGCAGGAGTCGGACCAGGGCACTCATGGCAGACCAGCTCTGAGTGGTGCTTCTGCTGAGTCACTGGTCTTTTCTCTCTGACCAGCCTCTGCAGACACCAGTCTCCCCTGTGATAGGACTTTGCCCCTAGTCTCCTGTTTAGCAATTTATTTTCCACCAGTGTGGGGTGGGTGTATAAAATCCCTTCAGAGGGTGAATGTGCCACAGCACCACTGGTTCTTCAAGTTTTACATGGCAAAGAAACAGGTGGTGCCAGTGTTCCTGAGTTCTGGGGCACTCTGCCCAGCTGAAGAGGGTGTGGCATGTTGACTCACCTCAGAGAGGCATGAGAAGGGGGAAGGGGGACCTGTCTCAGATCCCAGCCTCATGCGGGCCAAATGTGGGGGCAAAGTTGACTCATGGGGCCTGCCCTGACCTCCTTCTGCCCTTGGGTCAGGTACTTAAAAGGGGTGATAGGAAAAGAAGAGTGCTCCTGGCAGAGGAAAAAATCAGGTGTAAGGGACAGAGACTGCCTGGCCCTTTTTGGAAAGGGTGAGTAGTTTAGATTAGTAGAGAATGGTGTGAGTTGGAGGAATGGTGAGAAGTGAGGTCTGAGAGTAGTCAATCAGAGAAACTTTATTTTTTAAGAAAATTATTAAACAATTTTTTTGAAAACATAATACACTCACATGGTACCAAATTTAAAAGGTACAAAAAAGATCACAGGGTGTTTTAGTCCGTTTTGTGTTGCTATAACAGAAATACCTGAGACTGGGTAATTTATAAAGAACAGAGGTTTATTTGACTTACGATGCTGGGACAGCTGCATCTGGCACGGGCCTCAGACTACTTCTACTCATGGCGGAAAGTGGCAGGCAGCCCGCGGGTACAAGCAGATCACATGGCGAGAGAGAGAGAGAGAGAGAGAGAGAGAGAGAGAGAGAGAAGCAAGAGGTGCCGGGGTCCTGTAAACAATAAGCTCTCGCGGGAACTAATAGAGCGAGAACTCACTCATGAGTCCCCCCTCCCCCAGGGAGAGCATTAAGCCATTCATGAGGGATCCGCCCCCGTAACTCAATCAGTTTCCGACACCGCCACATGGGGGATCAAATTTCCACATGAGTGTTGCGGGGGACAACACGTCCAGACTCCATCAGGTATGTTTAGTTGTGTAAGAAACTGCCAAGGTGACTTCCGAAGTGGCCGTACCGCCCTGCATTGCCAGCGGCAGTGTATGAGAGTTGCTGTTGCACATCCTCACCGGCATTGGGCGTTGTCCTGTTTGGACATTAGTCATTCGAGTAGGTGTGTAGTGGTATCTCCTTGTGTCCACTTGCGATTCCCTAACGACACGTGACGTGGAGCATCTTTTTGTATGGTTTTTTCTTTTCTTTTCTTTTGTTTTTCTTTCGGCCGTCTGTACATCTTTGTTGGCGAGGTGTCTGTTCGGATCTTTTGCCCAGTTTGTCATCGGCTTGTTCCTTTTCTTACTATTGAGTTTTTTTCATATTATTAAGACCTCTGTATTTTCTTTTCTATGAACATTCATTTGCCTACTTTTTCTATGGGTTGTTAATCTTTTTCTTATTTATTTGAATAAGTTCTTTATATAATAAGAAAATTAGCCATTTATCTGTGATATGAGTAGCAAACATTTTTCCCTTGGTTTGTTGTGTATAGTTTAATTTTTAAAAAAAATTCAATTTTATTTTTATTTATTTTTGTGAGGTACACTGTGTTGTTTCAATACATGGATATACTGCACAATGATTCACTTAGGGTAGACAGCATAGTTTTGTCGCCATTAGTTCACCCCTAATCTTCCCCCCACCCCCACCCCTTCCAGTCTCTGGTGACCATTATTCTACTCTCTACTTTTTTTTTAAATGACAAAGATTAACATCCTGATTGCAAAAAGAACTCTTAAAAATGAATTAGAAAAATCTAAGCAGAAATTTGGTGAAGGACATGAGCAGATGAGTCACACACCCCAAAGAAAAACATGTGGTTAATAAGTACATTCTAACACTGGTTGTGGGCGGGGGCGGGGCTGGCCTGGTCCCCATCTCAGGACCCCTGGGTGTTGGGTTGGCTCCATTGCTGGCCTGGATGTGTGGTAGTGGAGGCAGGGCTATATTTTAAATTTTTAGAAAGTTCTTTTCTTTTTCCTTGTCATTCAGAAAATTTTCATTTATATGCAGTCAAAATATATCAATAATTTCTTCTATATCTTTTGTATATTGTGCTATATTTTGAGGGACCTTTTGGATTCCAACATAGTAAAAATATTTTTCTGTGGTTTCTTTTAGTTATTTTATGGCGTTGTTATTATTACTGCTATTAATCATTTCAGTCCTTGATTTATTTGGAGTTCATCTTCACGTAATAAAGTGTGAGCTATGAATCCAGCTTGATTTTGTTTTAGGTATCTACCCAGTGTATTAGCACTTTTTATTGAAAACGTATCCTCCCAACCCCACCCATAGTTTGAAATGTCACCTTTCTTTTTTTTTTTAAATTTTATTTTGTCGATATACAATGTGGTTGATTATTGTTGCCCATCACCGAAACCTCCCTCCCTCCTCCCTCTCCTCCCTCCCACCCAACAATGTTCTTTCTTTTTGCTTGTCGTATCAACTTCAAGGAACTGTAGTTGTTATGTCTTCTCCCTCCCCCAGTTTTTTTTTGTGTGAATTTATTTATTTATTTTTAGCTCCCACCAATAAGTGAGAACATGTGGTATTTCTCTTTCTGTGCCTGACTCATTTCACTTAATATAATTCTCTCAAGGTCCATCCATGTTGTTGCACATGGCAGTATTTCATTCGTTTTTATAGCTGAGTAATATTCCATTGAAAATGTCACCTTTCCATATACTATGTTTTGATATATATTTGAGTCTATTTATGGATTTTTTTATACTGTTCCATTGAACTGTACTTGTCTTCATGTCAGATTTATAATGTCTTAATATTGGGAGGGCTAGTCTATTTTCCTTCTTCTTTTTAAATTTTCCCTTGCTATTCTTGCTTCTTTCTTTTTTCTATCCATATGAATTTTAGAATTAGCTTGTCTATTTTAAAAAAAATTATGTTGGTGTTTTATTAGGATTACATTAAATATATTTTAGGAAGAACCAACATATCTTTTTATCCAAGAGTATGTAATATCTTTGAGCAGGAGCTGAGGATAACCCCCCACCTGACAGATGGTAGGAGTGCACCTGGGGACCTCAGCCACTGCTGCAGACACTGCATCTGCATGGGTGGTTTGCGATAGCTATTGCTGCTACAAGGGTGGCTCATTGCCAGAGCAGCAGTCACAACCACTGTGTAGGTGGCCTGCCAACCACTCAACTGCATTGACACAAGGAGAGTTACCAGTGGAGTCTAGGGAACATGGTGAATGAGTGCAGACCTATAACCCGGTGGCCCAATCCACTGGGAGAATTATGCTGCCATACATGGTAACACACCTGGGGGTGGGAGGTATGTGCACAGCCCACATGACTGCCTTGATCTTGGGAGAGACACACACAGAATCCCCCAAGAGTGCAGAAACCCAGGATACCAAAATGGAATAAGAAAGAAAATTCCTAATCACCACCAGCTCATCTCCCAACTGGGGGGAAGCAAGGACCCAAGACTCTTGCTTCTTTCTTTTTTCTATCCATATGAATTTTAGAATTAGCTTGTCTATTTTAAGAAAAATTATGTTGGTGTTTTATTAGGATTACATTAAATATATTTTAGGAAGAACCAACATATCTTTTTATCCAAGAGTATGTAATATCTTTGAGCAGGAGCTGAGGATAACCCCCCACCTGACAGATGGTAGGAGTGCACCTGGGGACCTCAGCCACTGCTGCAGACACTGCATCTGCATGGGTGGTTTGCGATAGCTATTGCTGCTACAAGGGTGGCTCATTGCCAGAGCAGCAGTCACAACCACTGTGTAGGTGGCCTGCCAACCACTCAACTGCATTGACACAAGGAGAGTTACCAGTGGAGTCTAGGGAACATGGTGAATGAGTGCAGACCTATAACCCGGTGGCCCAATCCACTGGGAGAATTATGCTGCCATACATGGTAACACACCTGGGGGTGGGAGGTATGTGCACAGCCCACATGACTGCCTTGATCTTGGGAGAGACACACACAGAATCCCCCAAGAGTGCAGAAACCCAGGATACCAAAATGGAAAGAAAATTCCTAATCACCACCAGCTCATCTCCCAACTGGGGGGAAGCAAGGACCCAAGAGGAGCCTCTGCTTTTAGGAAAGAGGAAAAAGAAACCCCATCCAGGGTCACCCATTCAAACTGAGGAGCTCCAGTATACCCCAATGTACCCACCAAGGGACACCCACCACAGCCAAAGAGTGACAGGGCACCCAGGTGTTTTAACTGAGAACTTGAGAGCTTGCCACATACTGGAAGAACTAACACAGTATCACTAACCTCAGCAAGGAATCACTAAGTGCCGCAGTGCCTAGGCTGTGGAGGCACTCACACACAACTCCAACGTTGAATATGGCCACAGGACCCACACAGAGACTATACTACTGCATCTACTGGGAACCAGTACTAAAACACCCTACTCAATGGTCAATATAAAACACATCTACAGAAGGAAATCTCTCTCCTCAAAGCCCTCAAAGTTACAGAGGAAGGAACTGCTCTACCAGATGACCATACATCAACATACAGATACTAGAAATATGAAAAATCAGGAATATATGAAGCCACCAAGAATCCAGTATGAGGAAGAAATAGTGTATTCCACAGACAAACAAAAACCAGGAGAATTCACCACCACATGATCAGTCCTACAAGAAATCCTTAAGGGAGTCATGGATCTGTAATCCAAAAAATGATAATCAGTACCAAGAATACACAAGAAAGAACAAAACACACTGGTAGAACAAAAATGCAAATGAGAAGGAGAAAGAAACTGTATCTTACACCAAAGAAAAATAATGAAAGGGGAAGAAAGGAACAAAAGATGTTTAAAACAACCAAATAAAAATTGATAAAATGCTAGGATAAGACAATACCTTTCAATGACAACCTTAAATGTAAATGGATTAAATTCCCCACTCAAAAGACACAGACTGACTGAATGGATTAAAAAGCTAAACCCAACTATATGCCGTCTACAAGAGATTCATCTTACCTATAAAGACACATACAGTGGAAGGGATGGTAAAAAATATATTATACAAATGGAAATAAAAAATGAGCAGGA